GCCATACTGGTCTAATATGCTCTTCTCTCTTGAAGCCTAAAGATCTGGGATCCTGATACGGACAGGACCGTTGTTTCAAGTCCTGCTTGTTTCCCACAGCTAAGCACTATTTGACAGCAGGTGCTTTATTCATATACTCTTTTCTAGGCAAGCGTATAGGGTTACTCCTTAGGTCAGCTCTCCCAGTCTCTCAGCAGGATGATGTTTTATATGGATTTTTATTCCATGGATATGCTTAATTTTTAAAAACTTTAGAGCCTGTGTATGGTTTTTGCATCTACCATGTTTTCTGGCAATAAGCACCATACTTCACGTGTTGTGTGAATTCTTCTCTTCTGGTTTCAACCTGTTATCCGAGAACTTCATGTGATACTCTCTGTTTTCTGTACAAGGAGAGGCAGGACTGTTTGACTCTCTCCCAAGCAGTTTGATACGAGTTTAGAATCTTTAAATATCAGATACAAGTTTAGAATCTTTAAAGATCACAGATAATGTGTTCACTCAAACACTTGTCTGGGCAGGAAAATAATTCTAGATTCCATTAGTTTTCTTTATACTTGTTCCCTTATATTAGAATATGAACTAGTATCAGGAAGTGAAGCTGGAGGTTTCCTCAGCTGTCTCCTGGTGAAGGACATCTCTGCTATAGGAATGATCATTTAAGAAGTCCTGTGACTCTTTTCAGGAGAAATTGATCTGAGCGGAGACAGTCACCAGTAGTTCGACATGCTACTTTGCTCAGTTATTTTCATTTCCAAACAGAATAGTTACGAGAAGTAGTTCTTGACTTACTTAATGCTGTTTTCCACAGTGTTTCCTTTGCAGTTATTTGCTTGTAGCATATAAAATTTTGTGCAGAGTTGTGTTCAAGGGTACGTTAACTTCTGAATTGTGCAAATTGTTCAGACATTTAATGTAGGCTGTAAAGGTAACTATAAAATAGAGGTTATGACTTTAAGAAAGATTTGCAGGTGTCAGGTATTATCTGAATGATCTGTTGTTTTTCCTGAACCTTTCTTTTGTCATGGTCTTTGGCAGAAGTGGAGATTCTTAAAAAACAGAATTGCAGGATGGTTGAGGTTGAAAGGGACCTCTGGTGATCATGTAGTTCAACCCCTTTGCTCAAAGCAGGGCCAACTAGGGCAGCTTCCTCAGGACATTGTCCAGTTGGATTTTGAATATCTCTGAAGACAGAGACTCCACAACCTCCCTGGGTAACTTGTTCCAGTGTTTAAATATCATCATGCTGAAGAAGTTTTTTTCTTATGTTTAAGTGGGATTTCTTGTATTTCAATATGTGTCCGGGTAGGCACGAAGTTTTTTTGAGAGTAAGAAAGTGTTCTGAGTTTGTGCTTGTATCGCTAACTGTAGATAAAATAGTAAGTTGGTTGAATTTATCTTTCTGCACCTTTGCTTGGATAATTCATGCTTCTAATAACAAGACAAATAATTTAAAATGTATTTTTGTGTTGTGGGGTTTTTTAATAACATTAATCACAGGACAGATTTATGGGAGTGACTCGGTCTCCTTTTTCATATACAATTCTGACTTCGGTTTCTAAACTTGAAATATAAGGTCAAGAGGTAGAGGGGCAATTCTGATGAAATAAAATATCGTTATCTAGTAGAACCCTACTGTAAACCAAAGTTCTCTATTGCCAGCAGTACCATAGAGACGAGAACGTGTAAATCTTGATCAGGGGCTAGGTAAAATAATACACAGTTTGCAGACTATTCTAACACATGCTGCAGGCTATCAATAATAGTAAAAGTTTCGTATTGTAAGAAAAATGGCTGTATGGCCATTAGTCATTCTTCTGTTAGCATTACATTTTTTTGTCAAATATAATGAATTTGGACACAGGCTTTTTTATATTGTTTTCCTTAGAGCCAGAGAAGATAGAAGTGATGTGCTGCAGATGTTTCTTGTGTGACATTTATGTTCAGTATAGAGTTTTAAGAATAAATTAGTGGTCATGGAACATATTTGTCTTAACAAACCATGTAGCTACTTCTAAACTAATCTGCATCTTTTAATGCTGCTATAGAGCAATTTGGATCTCATGTACCCTCATGAAGGATAATATCCTTTTCTTCTGAAATCCTGTTTCTCATACTATGGATTCTATTTGAAAATGTTTAATAAAATAAGTAATAAATAAAACATATATTTTATTTATTATTAATAAATATATATTTATTAATACATTATTATTTTATTTTATTAATAAAATTATTGTTTTATTTTATTAATAAAAATAAAAATCACTTAGGGTTATCTACCTCAGGAGACGTTTTATTAGTAATCACAATTCAGGTGATTGTAAAAGACAGAACTATCGTTGGCAAGTTACCTTTTCAGTCTTTCCTTGATTGTTTTCTGTTCTTCTGCAGGCAGTCTAGTTTGCCCCTGCTGCCCACTGCCTATGTCAGATCTGCTACCTTGACCTTCTGGTGTGATTCTGTAGAGCAGTATGTATTTTACAGTTCAAACTTACTGACTTCCTTTTGTGTGCCAGAGACATTTGGAAGGAGATCTCACTTGGGCAGTGAAAGAAAATGTCAGGTGAATAACTATTGCAAAGTGGTAAACTTTATTTATTTATTTATTT